AGCAAGTAGAAACTGTTGTTCTATTGTTGTTTGTAACAATATTGAATTTATTCTTCATTTTCTTTTGCTCACATTATCAGAAAGCAAGTCTTATGCATAATAAAAAATAAAATAAAACAGACAATGTCTTCATTTGTTTCGAGATGCTAAAAGACAAATAAAAGTTGAATGAGATAAGATATCCAACGCACTGACTTTCAAGTGACTATTAACTATAAAGATGATAAGCAAACGAAAGTTGGAAAGAATAATGATAAAATAAATGATATTGCTGGGTTTTTTTTCTCTACCTTTTGTTGCTGACAACGATACTTTTGATTACACCCAGATTAACTTTGACCTTGAGTTTCAAAGTGTGCGGGTGTGAGTGTAGCTTATTCTTCTTCAATCACACACACGCACAACTATACATCCCTACCCCAAACACTCACACCACCCACACCCTACGTCATAGGCGGCGGAACCTAGAGGCTGGGTGAGGCATGAGTCTTACCCAAATTTGGCATCTGTAGGCTCAGCCTTGCCCAAATTATGAATTCGATATTTTTTTGCACGATGGTTTAGACTTATCTTATCAGTTGAATATTATTTCAGTTCGAAGAATCGAACTTCTAATACGTTTATTTATATGTTGTGATAAAGAAAACTAAGAAATTCAGACAATAATAAACTCACTAACTACGTTCTTATGGTTTACAGCGATACCTTCTATCTCATTTACATAAAGTGATATGTGTACTAGGCCAACTGTAGGAATTATGCGATCAAAAGACATCAAAACTAGCTATATTTGAGTGTCCTGTCATTCTCTTTAACGTATTCAGTGAAATATATCCACAGTAATTGTTAAAAATGTCAGCAAATATACCAACTAAAATACAGTGTCAAACGAGTTTATTTGCATACTTATCTGAATGTGTTGCTCTCTTGTTTTTGAATGCCTCGGCATTATCATTTAACTAGTGCGTTAGAAGATTATTATCTTAGTCTTGCTAAGGAAAGTGTGATTTCATGTTTACATGAAAATTAAACAGGTAAACAGTACTTTCTTTTGATTATAGTCATAAAATCAATAATTTAGATTATAAACAGAAGGGACATGAAAACGATGTACAGATTGATTTTGGAATATTTTACTAAAGAAATAAAAGGTGCAACAACATCTGTGTTTATAGAAGAAATTGATTTAACTGATCTTGCAACAAGTTCTCGAGACGAAGCTCGTGAAGCATCTTCTGTACCTCAAACTATGCATCTTGTTAATCAATTAAATAGTGTCCATATTTATATCGTCAAACAAAAAAGACAAGCTTTTTTTTGTTTAATGTTTTAATATGAAATACATAGTTCTTGTATTTTTTGGAATTTTTGTTCTTCTACGAAGATTTAGAAACTCTACCACACTCTAAAAAAAAAAGGTTTCCTCGGAAACTGATACCCCTTCGGAAACCTTTTCGCAAACCTTTTTAGGTTTCCGGAAGGGTTCCCGAACTTATGTTGAGTTTCTGACAATACCTTGAGGGTTTCCGAGCATCCGGAAACCAATGGATTTTGGAGAGAGCGGATTCGGAAACCTTCAACCGTATTCTCGGAAACCGCTTTTGCTTCGAAAACCTTTTCGGATACCCATTGCGTATCCTCGCATACCTTTGGGTTTTCGATATTTTTTTATCGAAAACCCTTTTGGGTTTCCGGGCATCGGAAACGGTCGAAGCGTTTTCCAAAAATCTAGCAAGGTTTCCGAACATAACTGGAAAACCCCTTAGGGTTTCCGAATGTTGCGAAAACCTTTGAGTTTCCGAGAAAAAGTTTCGAAAACCCATTCAGTAGTATGCAAAATCCGATTAGCATTCCAATATGATCTTTTTTATTCTCATGTTCTATCGTGTGATTTTCAGGTAAAGCGGTGCTCGATATGCATGACATAAACCTTACTTAATTTGTGTGAAGTTGCTTTGTAAAACATAAGAAATCTGAGAAATGTAAAAGAAGGCCTTGTTCCCAAAAGAATTCTAATTCGTTTTTATATTTCAAATAGCCTAAAATTTTGGATGTATTATGACACATTTTACTGTGAAAATCGAAGAGTCGCGCTAAATTGGATGGTCACTATATGCCCTCTAAAGGCATCGTAGTGAAGCGATTTCGTGGCGAACTTAGGTTTTTCTTCCCTCGTTATACTATGGACACATGTTCACCAATATGAAATTCAGATCAACGTTAAGAAGTTAGATTAAGGGTTACAATAAGCGGACAGATATAAATTAAAGAGTTAGAATAAGACCACGGAATAAGACATTACAACAACGAGTTAGAATAAGGGGATACACATAGATTAAGGACTTAGATTAGCACGATACATTTAGGGATAGATATAAATTAAGGAGTTATATTAGAGGTTAGAATAAAGGGGTAGAACAAGAAAGTAGAATAAGGGGACAGATACAGATCAAAGAGGAACAAACTGATTTCCGATTTCTTGATTTCTAGTGATTTCCATGATTTCTGACGATTTCGAGTTCGAGGAAGTCCGCTACCGTTCCGTTGCCAAATAACCGGTAACGAAAAGTTTGTGAGTTTCATTTTTTTTGTTAGGATAAGGCTATTTTCAAAAACTAACGATTTTCTATAAAGTTTGATCAAAGGTTATCGAGGTCCAGGAATTCGAATCTATAAGTCGTTCTACAAAATTTGTGAGTTTCATTCTTTTGTTAGGATAAGGCTGTTTTCAAAAAATAACGATTTGCTATAAAGTTTGGCCAAAGGTCATGGGGGTCCAGGAATTCGAATCTGTGACTCGCTTTTCAAAATTTATCAGCTTGATTTTTTTGGCCACTGAAGGCCTATTTTGCAGAAATGCGGACATTCCCATAGAGCTGGCAAAACTATGAGAAATTGCTTCACCCTGACAAAAAAATCGAAACTCGAAAATTTTTCGAAATCACTTATAGATTTGGATTGCTCGACTCCGATAGCTTCCGATCAAACTTTATACGAAAATCATCATTTTCGGAAAACACACTTGCCCTAACGAAAAAATCAATCTCACAATTTTTTCCTTCTCAGATAACATTGATTCCTTACCCGCACTATGGATATCAAAATTCTGACAAGCTGAGATATACACACAATAGCAATGATCTCTATTAATTTCTGTTGATTTCAAATTGATTTCTGGCATTAGAAATCAGTTTCTTTCCCCTTGATATCGATGAAGAAGTTAGATTAGCGGTCAGAATAAGGGGATAGATATAGGTTAACGACTTGGATTAGAAATTAGAACAACAGAGTAGAGTGAGGCCGTAAATGAAGAGGTTAGAATAAGCAATGGAATAAGAGATTAGAATAAGGGGATAGATTAAGGGGTTAGAATAGGGGATTAACATGAGGGATTAGAATAAGGGGATTGAATAAGGGGACAGATGAAGGGATTATAATAAGGGGTTCGATTAAGGGGTTAGAATAAGGATTTAGATTACACGGTTAGAATAAGGGGATAGAATAAGGATATAGATTAAGGGGTTAGAATAAGGGGTTAGAATAAGAGGATAGAATAAGGGGATAGATTAAGGAGTTAGAATAAAGGATTAGAATAAGGGGACAGATGAAGGGATTATAATAAGGGGTTAGATTACGCGGTTAGAATAACGGATTAACATAGGGAGTTAGAATAAGGGGATAGAATAAGGATTTAGATTAAGGGGTTAGAGTAAGGATTTAGAATAAGGGTTTAGAATAAGGGGATAGATTAAGGGGTTAGAATAAGAGATTAACATAAGGGGATAGAATTAGGATTTAGATTAAGGGGTTAGAATAAAGGATTAACATAAGGGGATAGATTAAGCGGTTAGAATAAGAGATTAGAATAAGAGGATAGAATAAGGGGTTAGAATAA